CATCAATCTCTTGAATGGAAATATACTGAAAAGAAACCAAAATGACTCCTGCATTGCAAAATTTTCATGGTGTCAACAGTGATTAAAAAAGACAGTCAGCGACAAAAATTGCTTCAAAAGATACAAATGCAATTTTCTAGGTTGATAAGAGTGCTACACCAGAACTGTTTGGTTTACATGGCGAATTAAAACAATATAACCGCCAGCTGGTCGTTTTCCCGTGATTCGCCACAAAGCATGCCAGATTCCACCATATGCACAGTATTTATTTTCAGGTGTAATAACCTACAAAAGAAATGATTTAAAAGCAGTGTTTTTGGCGTGTCTGTTTGAGTCAATAAATCACTATCAGCGGAAGCCTTCGACCTTCTGCTGGATGAAGACCTCTCCAAAAACCTTACCATATTTCCGATTTCTGCCATTTTCATTCATCTTTTCAGCTCCTCCTGCCGTCAATCTGAATATCTTTCTTCGCACTGTTTACACTCAGGTGGAATCCTGCTCAATGTCTCTAGTGGCCACATAAGGTTGGTTCTTCTTGTAACTTTTCTGCGCAATGAAACTTAAATTTCTTCACTCAGGCACTGGCATCATAGAGTTTCGGTTGTGCTCTTATCTACAGGTTCGTTTTCTTACCTTTTGGTGCCATTTTCAACATACATCGGTAAATATATTGGTTGAATACTAAAGGTTTACCTTTCCATACCCCAGGTTAGAAATTCAACCACTGTCAATCATCCGGATTTACACGCTATAGTCATTTTGACCCCTTACGCATAAAGTACCGTTTTGGAAAAACACTGCTCCCAATCATCCTAGAACCTGCAGCACTTATACGCAACACTGTTCCCAAGAGGACTACAAGCAAGAGGTTGCAAAACTATGCCGTGAAAGTGAGAACAAGCAAGAGACCATAACTGCGGTATATAAACTGCAAACGTTGAAGCTTCTACATACTTATTGAATACATCTGTTGCTCTTCTGAATGTTTATATGTATGTTGTATCAACTGCAAAAGTATTCATACACAAATTCGTGTACGATAATTCACTGTTAAATTAGAAACGTGCAATTTCAATCATTGGCATTTTCTGCTGCAATCTCTCATCGATCCATTTTAACGGATAATCATGAAAGAGATAAATTGCCAAACACGAGCATTCACCTGTATAAATTATCGTCATATGGTCTAATGGTTGGATATCCGCTTCTGAACATAATTTCAAAATTCTGAAAATGCAATGATTCACTTAAAGTGTGTTTAGTTTGCAGTTAAATGCGTCTATGGATAGTGTTTCAATGATAATGCAAAACACAGGTGGAAAAATAGACAACCAGCTGATGAATAAGCATGAAACCGGTTATGACTTCAGAACTGAGGGTCAGGTTACAGTAAGAATATTGCAATTAATGCCATCCGGACAAAAGCCGACTAATACGGATGGCGGTCAATGAAATTTTCGTGCAACCGTTTTGGTGGAAACTGCTGGAGAGTGTCAGCATTTGATCCTGCCTTCGCCGCACTGAACCTGTATAACTGGACGGTGGTCAACTGTATAAGGTGCGTCCCATGATGTTATATATCAGCCGATAG